GAGTAGCTGGGACTACAGGCACGCACCATCATGCCCAGCTGATTTTTGTATTTTTAGTAGAGACGAGGTTTCACCTTGTTGACCAGGATGGTATCGATCTCTTGACCTCGTGATCCACCCGCCTCGGCCTCCCAAAGTGCTGGGATTACAGGCGTGAGCCACCGCGCCCGGCCAAAGTATACCTTTTAAATAATTAAAGTGATTAAACAGAGGCTTAAAAAATTAAATGGGAGAATTTCTTCTTTTTTTCAAGACAGAGTCTCACTCTGCCAGGCTGGAGTGCAGTGGCGTGATCCTGGCTCACTGCAACCTCCGCCCTCCAAGCTCAAGCAATCCTTCCACCTCAGCCTCCCAAGTAGCTGAGACCACAGACACGTGCCATCATGCCCAGCTGTTTGTATTTTTGGTAGAGACGGGGTTTTGCTATGTTGCCCAGGCTGGTCTCAAACTCCTGACCTCCAGAGACCCTCCCACCTCAACCTCCCAGTGTCGAGATTACAAGCGTGAATCACTGCGCCCAGCCTCATTTTCTCAGTATGTATCCAGTGACCTTGTAAGTAATGTTAACCCACTCAGGTGGGGTGGGAGGACTGTCCTCTCTATACCATCCCCTCCCAGTTCACCGCCCCCCACTTCCCCACCCGCCTCACCTTCGTCACATGGGAGCACCCCCACCGCTTCCTTCTGCCACTCTGCCTGTCCTCTGCTGCCCCCTGGTGGCAATCCTGGCCCCTGGTTCTCCCCAGTGCTGTTCCTGGTCCCATTTAGCAAGTGTCCCAATCCTCTTAAGCCAGGCCAGCCTCAGCAGAGCACAGAGAGAATTAAATCCGATTTGGAGGCAGGAGACATCCAACAGGCTACTGGGGAAGGGGACGAGGACAGACAGCTTTTTTTTTTTTTTTTTTTTTTTTTTCTTTTAGATGGAGTTTCACTCTTGTTGCCCAGACTGGAGCTCAATGGTACAATCTCAGCTCACCACTACCTCTGCCTCCCGGGTTCAGGCAATTCACCTGCCTAAGCCTCCCAAGTAGCTGGGATTACAGGTCTGCACCACCACACCTGGCTAGTTTTTTGTATTTTTCGTAGAGATGAGGTTTCTCCATGTTGGTCAGGCTGGTCTCAAACTCCCGACCTCAGGTGATCCGCCGACCTCAGCCTCCCAAAGTGCTGGGATTATAGGCGTGAGCCACCGCGCCTGGCCTGAGACAACGTATTTTAAAACATAAGCCCCTCGTGGTTTTTTTTTTTTTTGTCGCCCAGGCTGGAGTGCAATGGTGCCATCTCAGCTCACTGCAACCTCTGCCTCCTGGCAAGATTCTCCTGCCTCAGCCTCCCGAGTAGCTGGGATTACAGGCACCCACCACCACACTGGTTAATTTTTTGTCTTTTTAGTAGAGATAGGGTTTCACCATGTTGGCCAGGCTGGTCTCG